AGCCCAGGCCCCTGGTGCTGCGCTGCCCCACAGCCCTGCCTGTCCTGCACAAGGTCGGGGGATGCTATTGCTGCCCTGCCCCGTGCTGAAGTTGGCTGATGTGCAGCAGAACTCAGCTCTGCAGAGGAGGAACTGCCCCACAGGAGCAACGCGAGGGATTCCTATAATGCTCTCCCAGAAYTGAGCAAAACAACACGAATAGACCTTCTGCATAATGACTCAAAAACTGTTAATGGCCATCTTTAGTAACATAGCAACAGCCAAACCCTTGAAAAGAGGAAGTTTTCATTGAGAAAGCATTTCATTTTAAACATTGAAATTTGGTATAATGTAGTGTATGAAATAAGTTTTGAAAGGAAGCTGATGATTAAGAAGAAATGCAGTGGGCATTTAATAAATGGAGGAACCGCAAGATAATTAACTGGCATGCATAAAGATTCATGCTTTATACCAAAATTTTAATTTTGCACATAAATGTGCCTGATGTAGGCAGCATTTAATCACCTAGCTGACAGGAGTAACTACTTTCATTTAACCTTGACTGAAGATCATGAATTCTAACAGGTTTAATTGGATACATCATTTAACAGAATGAACAGAGCAAATTTTTCTCAATTCATAGGTTCTGATTGACATGCACCAGCAATAAGGCGTTGCACAATTAAAGCTGATCTGTATTCCTGGCCTGGGCAGCAATTGCCATAGTGATGTGACACTGTTTGATCACTGTGGCACTGAAACTATACTGAATTTCCCCTTGTTTTGAAAAGGAAAAAAAAAAAAAAAAAAAAAAAAAAAAAAAAAAAAAAAAAAAAAAGAGAAAAAGATAAAGAGATTTTGGCACTTTTTTTTTTTACATTAATCACATTTATATGCACAAACTGTAAGGGAAGGAACTTGTTATCAGTAACTCAGAGCAAAGAAGGAAAAATGGTATATTCTTTTATCCATTTAACACATTATTTACAGAAAGTCAAAAATGTGGATAGTGAATTGTAACAAATTAAGGGCCTGATTGTTCTGGGTTTCCATTTGAATAGGAAGTGATTCTGTGCAGCTCTGCTATTCACCTGCAGTTTGGCCTCTCTGTCTTGCCCAAAATCAGTTCCACATCACAGATACCTTGCCAGCAGAGTAAAGGTACTGAGAAGGGGTGCCCGTATTGCAAATGAGGTAGAAAAAGATGAGAGGGAAGAGATGGTACCCAACAGTGAGCTGCTACATTATTTTCCTGGTACACAGTGTTTCATATGATAAAACCTTGAAAAAATTCAYGGAGGAGCTGGCAACTCCAGTTCCCCATATGGCTCCTGCAAGCACTTCCACTGCCTCTGGTGCCTTTCACAAGTTCTGGGTTTGACCTTCATGAACTGGAATTCTTCTGTTGTTCAACCATAAATACATACATRCATACACACACAGAGGGACATATAYGTATATATGTATATATGTATATACACACAAATGTGTTCTTTTAYATCTCTGTCTTTCACTTARTTTTTTGCTTCCAATAGCTCCTTTTATTTTTTTTCTTTTAGAGGAAGGTTTGCCAAACACCAAATGGTCAGAGGGAAGAGTAGCACACAATRGGTTTCAGTCTGGTCCGGTAGAGCCAAAACTGCAGTAACAAAGCCTTCCTAATTCCTGAACTACCTCTAAAAAAAGCTTCAAGCGAGTTCTGCTAACCACCATGAGCATTGCAGCATCCATGCTCAGAACAGCAGGAAGCTTTTCCACATTTTTTCTCTCTGCATTCCCTTAGCTTCAGTGCCTAAGTGTTTGTCCTTGATCTCACCTGCAGACAGAGATATTGCTACCATTTGAAAACTTCGTTTCTGTTTAGGCAATGTATACACATATCGAGCAATAAGGTTCACTGCAGTGGAAGACAGAAATCTCGGAGAAAGCTGGAATCCTGATTGACTCAAAAACATGAACTTTAGAGTCAGGACCACTAGATGTATTTAAAAATACTTCCTTTGGTCATTTTAGAAGCCTCTAAAATTCAATTATCTGTAATACCTTCCTCTGTCAGAGGTTTTYCCCACATGATTCATTGTAATACTGGCAGAGGTACACTTTATCACTCACTAACATTTTTTAGTTTCAAGTAAATGATGGGATAACATCCTCAGCCTCTGCAGCCACACATAATGTGCCTTGGAACCATAGCAGGCGCTTTTCTTCATGCATGGCGRGTTCTCAGTCGGTGCCTGGGTCTTCCCTGTGCAGGAAGGAGAGGCAGGATTGGGTCAGTGCCTCAGTCTGCCTAAAGGACGCGTTTCTAACACAGGCACTGCCTGTGCTCTCCTTGTCTAGGGATACATGGCAGCAGGAGGTGACGTGTCCCCACTTTGCCACTCCTGAGGCCCTCTAGGCTGTGGGGGTGCTGCGAAACTGCTGGGCCCATTTAGAAATGCTTTTGCTGTAATTTACTCGAAATTTGTCCAGACCTTCCCAATAAAATAGCTATCTGTCCCACCACAAAGTTCTTTTTGATGTCCTACAATCCACACAGGTTCCACCTCATGGCATTCCCAGTTCAGGAAGACTTGAGGCACSCATTCACCATTTCTCTAGGAGATTCCCAAGGGCACCCTTGGCCTTCCCAAGTTGCACAGAGCTCGTCGGCAGCACAGCCAGAAGAAAGCACAGCCCACTCCCGGGAATCACACTCAGCTCTGAGCTTCCCTGGGGAATACTGCTGAGTTCAGAAGAACTGCATGGATAAATATTTGCCAAGCTGAAGGGAATACATACGTGCTGCTGGAGGGAGTAGCTTCTCTGGCTGCCTGAATGGCCCCAGCTCCAGCCCCTGGCTGTGCTCACGAGCACCCAGTGACAGCAGATCTGGAGTGCTCGCCATGCCAGGGCCTTACAGCACCCTCCTGACCTTTCCTTTATCAGCTCCCCGGACAGTTCATCCTCTGCACTCAGAGTCATTTGGGTGTTCTGGCTGTGACTCTCTGGAGCTGCACGTCGTTCTTGCCTTGTCTTCGTGCTCAGTCATCCATGCTGAATTATCTTCCACTCCTCCCTCTGGGAATAACTAAGGCTTTGACCTAGTGGGACTGTTTGTGTGCTTAAATGCTTTGATGTATCAGACATCAGCAGCTGCTTGCTCCCAAATCTGAGGTGGCTGAGGATTTCTGGCTGTTTTCAGAAACAGTTTGTGCACTGGGRAGCATAATCTAACTGAAAGTCAGCAAAGGATACAGACTTGGGCATTTTCAAGTATTTTATCTATCATCCTTAACCCCTCGTTTTCTTTAGTTTCCAAACAGCTGTCTTTTCAAATTTTGGTTCMCCTATACAGGATATACAGCTGTAATAAGAAGCATATTTAATTTCATTTCAGAATCCTCAGGGAGAAGGGGACATTCCTTTTTTTACTGATATAAGATCAAGTTTGTAATTTCATTTTGAAGGCTGTTCTGAACAAGTGGGTGAAATCAGGAGACCAGCCCCATTTTTACCCAGGTTTTCCTGAATCCACCTTTGGACCATGACCTAAACAAAATTCTGAGCACAGTTAATGTTTACACCTTTCTTGCACTGTGTAATTCAACTTTCAGCAATATAAAATGGGATAGCAGAAATATTTTTATGCGTTCTTACAATGTCCAGAGTTGTTTGTTACTGYTTTTATTTGAAGGAACTAGACACAATCCTGGCTGCCTTAACCACTGCCTTTGAGAGAGCTACAGCTGAGAAAATCCGCTGCCAGGAAGAAGTGAATAGAACTAACAAGGCTATTGAGCTGGCCAACAGATTAGTGAAAGGTCTGAGGTGAGGTCCTACAGGGCAGGCTAATGAAGCAGCCTACAGAAAGCACTTCTTTGTTAYACACTACTGATCTGGCAATAACAGAGGCACTTAGCAAAGAACCTGATGAGCTGAAAAAATTATGTCATTATCATTCATTTTTTTCATAATAGAAACATGGTTTTGACCTTTGCATTTTCTTACATTTTTGCTTYCTTGTTGTACATATTAACTGTAAGATTACCTGGTAACTAACCTATCCACGAACATTAAGAGAAGTAATCGATTGTGGATATTGACAACGAAGGCAATTTATTAAAATGCAATGACTATATTTGTAAYAATTAAACAATACTAATGATTCTGACCAGGGTTGGGATACAYAGAATCTAACACAATTTGCACTACTTATGATAATTCCCTAATTATCTTTCTGAGATTTGCAATGGATATTTCAGAAGAGAATAAATAATACCAAAGCCATGAATTATCGAAAATCTGTATTTTCTGTTGATCCAGGCTGGCTCAAGGGAATCCATACTCATTGACAGATTTTTTTCATTCATCACTCATCTACTGATATGACTGKTTTTTTTATACACACACATATATACACTTTTTACAGATACTTCATTTTATTGCAGCACTCATTTAGGAAATCTTGTGGTGGCTCACTGCCATTATAGGTTTTGTCCTCTTCTACCCAATACTTTCAAGCTGAGTTTGATATCCAAACACCTASTAAACAGCAAAAATAGAGGATCCATTTGTTATTAAGCAAAATTATATGGCTGACTGTGGCTAGTGAAACTTAAAATATAAAACAGGGTTTAACAGTTATTTCCTGAATCAATAGAAAGGATTTATTGACTAAAAGGGAGGGAGGGCAGTGCAGAGGGCCCATTGTTTCTGTTTAAAGAAGCAAGATGAATGCTTTTAAAATGTTCACATCCTGGCTGAAAGTGTAATGTATTTTAGTGATTAATAATGCCTGTAAAACTAAACCATGTACCTAATACAGAATAATAAAATAAATAACATAGCAGACCTCTTTAAAGTGTGACAATAAATGATTGTTCTAATATTTTCTTCCACCTAACATATCATATTGTTTGGTTCTCCCATGTGCCTCCTGCTGGGCTTGACAAGTGCTGGAATAGCATACGTAGAGAGATGAAAGGCAAAGTGTGGGTATGCTGGGGGGGAGGCATAATGAAAAATAATCTAAAGGAGGAAACAGAGATGAAAGGAAAGAAGGAAAGTTGAGCCATGCACTAGATGAAGACAGTAAAATGAGTTTTAATGGAAAGTCCTTCAGCTGGTACCTCCCAAAGCACCGGCCCCATGAAGAAGGTGGCCAGCTCAACAGATTGGTGATGGGAAGTAGAATTCATTCCTGTTGTTAGCTGTACCCTACTTGGTCAAAGGCAGTAATGACCATATGACAGCTATTTAGTGACTTACAGGAAAAAATCCATTTTAATCCATTCTGTGGTAAACAATGGATCACTGTTTACTATCAACGAACAGTGTAATACTGACACTGCGGTACTGTCAGTGCTGGCTRTTTCTTTGACTTATTTTTGCTAAGAAGATATTCTCTTCTTTTTCTAGTTGTATTTTTGTGAGGAGAATTTCTCAAGATATACAAAAACTACTTTATTTACAGCTTTTTTTACAATGAGCAAACATGTAAAAATTTCTTTAGTAACTGGTCTTTATAAATAAAAACTTATTGTTATGGTAAACAATAAAAAATATTGTTTACCATAACAATAAGTAAGCAAATGTGWGTTTTTTTCTAATTCTTAGAGAAAGTGTTGACCAAACAGCAGAAGAGCTGAGAGTGTCTAGCCAGGATCCCAGGGAAAAGGTTGCCCCAAGTGGCATGTCAAACCTCTTCTTGACTTTATGGCATAAAAGATCCTGCCCAAAAGTATTTTTCTTTTTCTGCCTTCTTCTCTAAGCCCTGGCACTCAAGGACTGTTTTGGGTGGTAGCATGAGTAGTTGTTACTCTGTACCAAGGAATTCTTTGCTTCTGACAGGTGCCAATTATGCTATGGACATCTGCCCTGGAGTATTGAACCAAGCTGACAACTCATTTTATATCAATCAAAAAACAACCATTTTCAATAATTTCCCATCCAGCTGGGACTGAATTTGCACAAGTGACCTATGTATTAGAGACATTACCAATCCACAGAGACATTCAGAACTGTGATTATGTYCTGTTTTCCCACAGAAACTCTTGCATCTGCACAAGAAAGCAACAACTTCTTCCACTAYGCAGGAGGATGCTGACAACTCAATTTTGGTCACTTGCTGCCAAGCTCAACTTGCAACAGTCAACTCACATCAGACTGGAAGGGAATTTTTTGTGTCCAGCCTTGCCACTTGCAAATCCTGTCTATTGCTCCTCTAATCGACGTGGATCTGCGAATCTGCAAGGTAATACTTAARTATTCACTACTGTTTAGCCATTGTAATGGGAATTTTTTAAATAGACACAGCAAATGAACAAGAATTTTAATCCTGTTTTCTGGGTAGAAAAGGAGAGCTGGACTTATCCCCAAATCATTATTAGGAACAAGAGAGAACGTGATACARAAATGTTCCAGAGGGTAACTTCACTGGGATAGTTTATTTTCAAAGTGGAACTGGCATGAGCCCAAATCTCATTYTGCTTTGCACAGATAATACCTTCTTCGCAGATACATATTTTTAAAATACACGGTTAATCAGAAAAAAGCCTGACACTAATTCCATTCCCTTTTTGACTTGTTGAACCATCAGGTTGCTTATATGAATTCCTTCAAACACTTTGTTTAATCAAATAGTATATTTGGAGGCAAAGAATTGGTAAAATGTTCTTCTGGGAAGGACCAAAATATGCCCTTTGCTAGTGTTTGAAGTAGCTTTTGCTATCTGATTAGAGTAGAGATGACAACTAACCCACAGATCTTGGGAATATGGTTAGCAAGCCAGAACAGTAGGCAGGCTCACCTTCTTCTTGTATTCTGTCAAGTGCTGTGCCCTGCTGTTTGCATAAGGGGACCAGCTTTTATTATTCTACTCTGTCCCTGTTACTGTGCACCAGGGCAGCACAAAGGAAGATTTAGTGCTTGGTTATAGTATTTGCTTGATAGCAATTGTTATAGTTAAGGCTGCACTGAGACTTGTGTCTTAACCTGCTGTTCTCCCATGCTCAGAATATTATTTTTTAAAAAAAATCCCTTTCGTCTGAAATTTTTCATGCTTGTTATCAGCTGAAATATGACTTTTTTTTTTTTTTTGCAAGCCTGAATAAAATTCATTCATTCATATTTGAATTATGCAAGGAAGTGGGTGTAAGGAGAAAGGTCTCTTTTTTGCACATTCATAATTCACAAAAAAAAGCTGCATATTACAAGCTGAARCTTTCCAGGTGGCTAGTTTTGACTGAAGGGTAGTCTTCATGCTAATTACAAAGAGAGAATGACTGAAAGAAAAATGAAAGAGAAAAATTAAAAATGACATATATTGTGATTAACTCATTTGTTTTGTAGGTGTGTCATACAAAAGTTACATTGTGAGCCACTTAGAGCAAGTTTAAAGTAACAATTTCATTTAAGTTAAGATGAACTGCCATAATTACATAATATCAATGTTTTGTGCTGCAATATCACTAAGAATCTCCCTACAGAAGCAGCAGAAGCTTTTACTTATGCAAATGTGGAAGCTCACAGTGAAACCAGCACAGAATCTTATGAATCATTAACTTTGGCCAAAAATCCAGTCTGGAGAAGGAGGGCAATGGCGTCAGTGGCAGCAACAGTCCYCGTGCTCTGGATCTCCCTGAATGCTGGACAGCTGAGGAAATAACTCAGAGTTTCTGCAGTTTGTTCCAGCTTACTCCACTGACTGTCTGGGACAGCAAACCACTAAAGCTTTGTTACTCTCTTGTCTTTGCTATATTCCCATAYCTTTGTGGACACAACAGGCAGCACATAATCCAACCAGCACCGTGTGACTGACCCTCAACCGTACCAAGGGATTGTTTCAGCAGAAAGTGCCTGGGCAGCAGAACCTGGGAGTGCTGCAACAGTCTGGCTTAACCCATGAAAAAAAGGTGCTGTGACATAGAGCTCCATGTTCTCACAAAATGCCTGGGAAAAAAATACAAATATATAAACAAAGYAATATAACTGTAATTTTAAACATCTGAAAGAACAACTGGCAATGGCTCACACAGTAATTGCTGACCTTGCTCCACATGGTGCAGAGTTCAGAGAYTCCCCAATACTAGGCTCCCACTAACCTTTTGGAGGCAAAATAAGGACTGTTGGATACAGTGCAGGCATCTTCAGCTTTTTTTTTCTCCTTGACTTTTGGGTGAAGTAAGGAGAAATAAATTTTTCCCAGTGATGCTGCTTATTTTTACAAAAAAAAAAAAAACAACAAAACACAATTGAGTGAATTCTGAGACATACTAGCTTCTGTAAGTAGAAATTTAAAACTTAACTTTTATTACTCCAGGTCACTATTTCAGGGGAAAAAGGTCTTGATCCAGTCACTGAGTGGAAGAATGCTACAATAATTGCTAAATAGAAAAGTGACAGCAGTGTCTGGCAATTCTATAGCCACATAAAAAGTCCCTGGTCTTATATTTACAGTCATCRTAGGCATAAGATCAAACCTCAGCACTGGGGAACAACTGGATAAAAGCAACATCTATCTCAATGTATAAATTATCTATTTGAGTCAAAAAAGGACAAGTGCTAGTGAGAATAAAGACTGAAGAACAGATATGAAGGAAACATGGAAACTATTTTTCTTTTGAATGCCTGATGTTGCCCAAAGTGTAAATGCCCCAGCAACCATTACAACTCTGCTAAAGCCCTTTCCTACTTTCCATTCATCAAACTATGAATGAGATGCCATATACTGCCATATCKCTTGTCTTTCACCAGCCCTGTACTGGGATGACTCTACAGGTGTGTCATACTAGAGATATTTCCTTYCTTCCTAGTTTGGCAGAAACTTGGAAGAAATTATTGATATTGTACTTAACCCATACTCGCAAGTTATGTTCAGAGTATTTATAATAGACTGTTATTTCTTCATCAGCTCTCTCTCTGTTATGTTCTTCAAATATTTGAAGCAGCTTCCTCTGAAAACTGTTCCTACACTTGTATGATAGTTATCTTAACTCCCAAGGATTGCAGCACCCAAGACACGTTGACTCCAGCTGGATTTTTACGTCTATTTTTCTTATCTTATTTGCACCCTTGCATGCACTACAATTCAATGACTGCAATTTGCGCACTCCTTCCTATCAAGCTGAGCAATCTTTCCCAACACATCACCATCCTGATGTGTAATCACTCAGGAGACATAATCATTCACTTAGAACTAAAATAATTCTCCTACCATTTGCTCCTTGCATCCATTCTGCCCTTTTTCTCTGATTTATTGTACTACATTCCTTATGGAAATATTTTGACATCCATCCCCTCTATTCAAATCTTGTACCCACCCTTGGAAGGAGTGCTTTGAACAGAGGAAGGCCAGGATGAGTGTGCATCTCATACTCACCCTTTCATTCCAGTGTCATTTCCCCCACCTCCTCATTATATTCCTGAGCCCTTCACCTCCTTCTAGTTTAGCTGTACCTACTATCTCTCCTGATAGCTGAGTCCTCCCTTCCCTCCCCTGCCCCTCTAGTAAATGTCAGAAAATATTTCCTCAGAGCCTCTGCTACTCAGGATTGTAGGATTGAATATAGGGATCCTGAACCCCAGCCTTGTCTAAGCTCTCTAAATCACTTGACCTCAAAAAGGTTGCCACAGGACAGCACTTACCTACAGTGCAGGCTGGAGAGAAAGTGCAGTTAAGGCACTGAATTCCTCCAGCTCCAAGCTTTGCAGCTTATTCAGACAGCAAGAAAGATTTTAGTGAGCCAGGGCACTGAATTTGTTACTCATTAAGCTTAGTCAAAATTACTGTGAAATTCCTTAATTAAACARTTCAAGCTGAGAAGCAAAATGCTCTCTAATCCAGCCACCACAGTGCCCCACTCAGTCCTGTAGCTTCGCCTCTTCTCACTGCCCTTACGTTCCTATGCTACTTCATGTGCTGCCTGTTGGTTTTGCTTGTTAGTGTCCACCGACCGTCACACTGCAGCGACAAGCAGAAATCTCTTCATGCYAAGTATGACCCAGTGCTGTGCACCAGCCCAGGTTGGAAGTGCATCTTGAATTCCTTGCTCCCCCAGGAGCATTTGATTAAAGGAGGATTTTCGTGGTGTGCTGAGATTCAGAACGTGGCTGCTGTTCAGTGGCTGCTGGTGGCAGTTCTGAGCCGGGACACACACTGGGGCTCCGCTCCTTCTGTGGAGATAAACTGAGTCCTGGGACAAGGAATTCTGCATGATTTGCCCCAGTGTGTGGAAAAGCAGAAACAACAGCATGCTCACACTCRCTGCCAGGCTGCTCTTCTTGCACTCAGGGACTCAGGATGCACCAGGCTTTGAGTGATTCTCCACACAAGGCTTCCACACCTGCTCTCTGATGTGTCTCTTRGAGCTAAAGAACTTGAATCAGCAACACTGCCACTGGAGATGTATGAGGTGAGTTTGGAAACATTTGGAAACTGAGGACATTTCATGAGTGTCCTCAAATCTGCACAGGGCCCTGGAACAGCACTTGCAAATGCAGGAGATCTCACAGCACAGTGTGCCTTTTACAGGCCTCACCAGGCTGAGCCTAAYACCCAAATACACACATGTGCTCCTCTCTGTGCTCAGAGCAATACACAATCTAAATTTATTTCTGCTATTATAAACCTACAAAAACTTCTCTATAGCCCAGAAGATGGCTTGGGAGTCACAAAACAGATGTGTACAGCTGTACACAAGAGAGTTCACAATTTTGTTTCTTTCTAGTACTTGAAGTTTAAAATTAATAAAAACTATGCTTACAATGAAGTTTTAGGAGAATGGAGGTATGTATTTCCTTTATTTCCTGTAGTTTGATTTATGGATTTGCAACCTTACCACTGCAGCCTGAACTCAGAAAGCAGAAAAATTACTTTAAAATTAAGTTGACAGTKCTTTAGGATGAATTATGGATACAATTTTTGGCTTCTGACAGTAATTTGCTTTGGGATATTCTTCTGGCTGAGAAGCTGAAAACAACAAGACACAGCAGCAAAAATATGAGCAAAGAAAAACAACTAATATAATTTGATCGGCTATAATAATAGTAATAATAATAATAATAATAATAATAATATAATTTTTATGCTGAATTTGGCTCCTTTGGGTCAAAACCAAACTAACTTTATCTCATAATCTTTATTTTTCAATTCACTTATCCACAGTGAATATATCTATGTGTATGTGTTTTCCCTCAAAGAATCACTGTCTCCATCACAAYGAAAATAAAATAAAACTTTTTAAATCACCACAAAACTCTTCAATTTATTTAAAGTAAAACCTGCAAGAGGTGAGTTCTAGTGCTCCATTTTACATATAAATGTAGCTTTYCCTGGTACATTTTTCCACAACTCCTTATAGTGCTAACTTGCTAAAAATGGTGCCACTGTTTACATTATTAATTGGAGCCCAGGACTACAAGGAGCTGTTGAAGCACTTGCCCAAGAGACCAGCTAGAACACAGCACTGCAGTGGAAGGATAGTGAGCAGGATGCTCAGACACTTATTTTTAGCTTGGAGTGGCCACAGCTGACTGCAGTCACATCTGGCCACCGGAYGTGCACCTCTCCATGTGAAAGTTGCGGATACTGAAAAGTTAAAAGCATTTTTCAGCTCTGCAGGATTTGTGCTGTTCCTTTCTGCTATACTGATGCACATGACTGTGTATTTTGTGCAAGCAGTTACTGGAAATGCAAACCAGGAAGTGGATGTTGAAAATCATTGTTATTAAATGAGGAATCATATCTAATTTAATTAAGAAATAAATATACGCTTACCAGTAAGCAAATGTCATCAGGTAATATCAGTTGTACTTGYATATCTCTTCCATCATCAGAGTGCTTTAAAACCCTTCTGATTTGTGWACAGTATGTTTCTCTGAAATAGGAAAACAAGGTATTTTCAGATGTTGCATAAAACATGAGTTCAAAAGACTTGACCAAAGAGTATCAGCGAGTCAGTAAACTCAAAATGTATGTTATCAATAAAATACTTAAGAGAACATGCCTAAGGATAGTGTTTTTGGAGTTGGGGTGCAGGAGTTTAATGGGCAAGGAGTTGAAAATTATGACCAAGATAGCTGGCTCTTGTAGCTTCATGCTTGTCTTACAGACTGCATAAAAAATTTGGAAATTATCTTGGAGCTTAAGGTAGTTTCAGGCCTGAGCTATCCTAAAGACTGAAAGTAAGATGTTTCAAAGAAACAAACTGATGATGATGCAGGCATTCATAACATGCGTTTGCCTTGCCATGGTATAATCATCACATAGTCTTTGGACAACCTCAGATGTTAGAAAAATCAGTGTTTGCATTGCAATTATAAAATTTCTTACTTTTAAAATCTGAAGATTGCAGAGAAACTATTTCAGAGAGCAAACAGTAGAAAAATAAGCAAATATTTCATTAAAATATTTTTTGTGGAAAGCCTTCAAGGACTTTGAAAAAGGCACAGTCCTTCTTTATGACCATGTAGAGCTTAAAGAGTCAGCTACCAAGTTCCACCGGAGCTGCATTTGAACTGTAAACTGTGAAACCCACAAAATCCCAGGCAAGGAGATTCCCCTTACTTTTGAAATCTATACATTTCAGACATATTTTTCCATAGCACTTTGTGATATCACACATCACAGTACTTTGTGTTGTCCTTTACATGGGTGAAGTAAAGACTGGCAGCAATCCCACTGCTCACTTTGAAACTGAACAACCACACAAGATGCTGACACAGAAAATCACCCTTTGATTTCTCAAGAGTTAAATTGCATCTGCAAACCATGTCAAGTTCCATTTGGAGTAAGCTCTGGTGTCTAGCGCATTTCTGCCACTGGTTATTCATTCTTTTTTGTTTCTTCAGATAAGAAATACCKGCATCCTAGCTGCTAATGAAAGAAGAGGTTAATTCTGAAATGCTTAGTCACTTTTTTACTGATGCTGTGAAGAAGTGACAGAATCCTGTAGTTAACATGATTCAAAACATAAGGGGATGAGAAGGTGGAGAAAGATTATATAAAATGTATTTATATTGCTTCTACAACTGAATTGTTTTTCGTTTAATGTCACGCTCTCAGTGTGGGGGGATTCTGCATGTGTCATGATTCTACAGATGTTCTTGAACACTACATGCAGCTGCACTACTTGTCATGGGCCAACTGAATAGCAAGATGCTTGTTATGTGTTCTCTCTATTCTTAGTTCACAAAAACATGGAGGGGAAAAAACCCACTACCTGATATCTTGCTTGCTTCCCTTCTTTATACAATCTTTTAAAACATTTTAAAACAAACAGTGGAAACAGTGTACTAAATTCTGTAACACCTGCAATTACAGCTCTATTACCTTTGATAGAATGGTCTTGTTCTTTTTCATGTTTATAATGCTAATTAAGTAATTTTAAGTACCTGAAGAGGTCATATTCCTAACAGTGGGGGGGGGGGCGGTTCTTCAAGAGCTTGATCCTTCAAAAGGTGGAATAATTTCTGCTAAGTCCTGCATATCTTCTGTTCTCAGTGACTTGCAGATGAAACTCAAAACCACTCTAATACAGCAGCACGGCAGAGCCAAATGCTGTCAGAAATTTTATGGAGTCAAACTCCTACTCTTGTCATTTTAAAATCCTGGATTCTCTCCTCCAGGTATTCTCTGTCCTAAACTTTGTAGGTCCAAGAGCACTGTGTTAACCAGCTCTTCAGATGGGACCATACCTTGGGTTCCAGCTTCTTGAAGATCTATCCAGGAAGCAGAACAAGATTTTGCAAGTAGAAAAGAGAAGGGGAAAAAAAAAAAGGGGAGGAGGGGGGGAGGTGGGTCACTTAGAAACCTATAAAATGCTGAAATGTGCGTTATCTAACCCAAGGGAGATAACTAAAGAGCTGTCAGTGCAAGGAGACATTTGGACTTCAGAGGAACAAAACTGAAAGCTGAAGTAGAAGCACATCCAACTAAACCAAACAGGACAAAACTCAAAAAGAAAGAACAACTGCAGAAGATTCTAAGTGTGTTATGCCAACAGTAACTATATGATAAAAAATAGATGCTATAAATAAAAAAAAAATATTTCATTTCTGCATCTCCTACAGTACAAGAAAGACATTAACCTACTGGCACTACTCCAGCAGAGGCTGTAGCAGGAAACCTGTGAGGAGAGGCCAAGGACACTGTGSTTCTTCAGCCTTGAAAAGAACAAGAGGGCAGGGCAATCCACTGCTGTTGGGAAATGCTTCACAAGAGACTACAGAGAAGACAGAGACAGGTTTTTCTTAGATGTGCACAAGGACAGGAAAGAGACAACAGAAGTTAGACCAAGAGAAATTCTGACCAGGGATTACGAAAAATTATTTACCATGAGGGGGATGAAATATTGGCAGAGGGAGCCTGGAAGGCTGTGGCTCTCTCATCTCCAGATGATGAATTTTCTATATCCTCTCCTTGAAAGTAACCACACCTAACAGATCACCTAGACATTAATAGCTATACTTGCAACATTAAAACATACATATATTTACAAGTACAGCTGAAACTGCAAATGCTTTTAAAACATAAAAGATGGATCAATGTAGTATTTTTTTTTCATTAAAAGATCACATTTTTAAAATAAATGTACCCTTTAYGTACAGTTGTATGGGAGGTATTCTAAAGCATCTTGAATTTTGTACGTGGTGAGAACTGCATATATGTAAAATACATAGTCATGTATCGAGTWGATGGAAAAGTTCTTGTTTGTAGGAAGCTGATCAGATAATTTTGTAAATGTATAACAGGGGTTTCTGTTATTAAAGATGTGCATCTGTGAACACAGACTGCCAAAGAAAATGGAATATTCAGTGAGTGTTTTCAGAAGAATGCCAGCAAATAGCATTGAAATACTTTATAGAGATGTGAAGATATTAGTTTCCAGTCTTCAGGTAGTCACTTAGCTCAAAAGTTAAGCAGATGTGACTATGACATCTCTCATTCTGTTTCTAATCAATCTCTAATCATATATATATGGTCTAGTTGTGTTTGTGCATGGACCCATTTTCAGAAATTGTTGTGAACWACCTCATGTAAAACCAGCCTAATAGTGCCTGTGTATCTATATGTGTGATGTATCCTAGATTCAAGCATGTTTCTTAATTATCCTATACCTTTATCAGGTTACACTATGGTCTCCGGCTGCTACAAGAATTTTTAACTTGGCACTACAAACTATAGCTCTCGGTTTAATAATCACAGTATTCCTGCTGATTGGGCAAATTATATTGGCAATAAAAATCAAATACTTTTTGTTAGCTGGCCTCCTGACGGCAGTGAAGAAATACAARTCAATCAGACCTTGAATTATTCTAATTCAAGAGAAGTTAGGAAAGTGTGCATGTTCCCAAGATCTGCTGCTCATTCATGACTCTGCRGTCATAGAAGAGCTTGCAATCTTTGCTGAACTCTGCATTTCACAGACTATTCAAAGTGACTTTATAGTCCAATAAATGTAATTTTGCCATTGCTAGTAAAGGTTTGTATTGACATGACGGTGTAGGGACTCGGCAATACTCTGGGTTTCTCTGGGCCTTGATACATTTTAACTTAGTTTACCTGTGATAGCAATTGTCCAAATGTGAGGCACTCTTGGTTAGATTTCTTTTACTTTAACTCTAGTTTATGGTAATAAAAAATGGTTATTCATTGTGAACYGAACTGCCTACAACTCCAGAGTCAGCTCTGGGGAAGAGTGCAGACACAGATGACACAAATCAGCCATTTAATCACAGATGATAGTATTAAGAAAACATATAAAACGAAATCCAAGCAGACACCAGGCTGAGAAGAAAGACATCCCTCTCCCATGAGTATCACACTAATTCTGGTGATAACTCATCATAACACTGTCCCATTCCTTTTGAGGAATACCAATCTTAAGACCCAAAGGAGCACTGGAGGCGTAAGTGCAACACCAGAGAAGAGGGAATTTTTAGTGTAGCAGTTTTAACTCTATTTTTAATGAGGTTTGCCTGTACTCACTAAGTAATTTTGACTATTAGACTTTTTTAAACRTTTATTGGACTAACAATAAATTCTTAGATTAATTTCTATTCTGTGCCTTTTGCCAATACATTTTTGCCAAACAGAAGACTTGGAGAGTAAGAACTCATCATAACATCGCCAATATCTTTAAGGACCTGGAAGCTGAAACAAGCTCTATAAAGATCACTGAAGCTCACAAGCATTTTTGGCCAGTTGCAGTCAATGCTGCGGTGCTCTATTTTCTCATGGACAAGCTGAATAAAATCAATCCAGTGAATTAGCTCTCATTCAAGGTTACCACTCAGGAAGAGGTCAGCATGTTTGCGTAACGCTGTTTAATCTAGTGCTACCACTAGCTCACCACTTTCCCTCCGGTCACAGGCTTTTACTGCTGCATTTCACAAGTCAGTGCAGTGAGTAAAGCCCTCTTACAACGTGAGACTGCACACAGACTGCAACTGCCTGCGTAACATCCTCAACTRTCATTTACATTGGTCTGTTGGAAAGGGTAAAGCTTACCCTCACAGCCCATTTAGCTMTCCCAGTACAGCATGAACCCTGCATGAGTTGCCATTTATCACTCTGTACAAGTACACCTCTGTGTGTGGCCAAGCAGCCCACAGAGCAGTCCTTTGCCTTAAGATTTCCAGGTCTCCCTTGCATGCCTTCCCAATTCAGCACAGTACAAGGGAATATGGACAACCTTGCTGTAGTCTGAGCTGTTCATGCTGTCAACTGGCTCTGCCAGGCCCCTGGAAAACTCCCTCCTCAGGGAAGAACATCAGTCTGAAACGCTTCCTACAAACTGCATTTGCTCTGAACCAGTCCAGGCTGCTTTCTCATTACAGGCAGAAGAGCACGACGGTTTCACAAACATTGCTGTRGTTGGGGGGCACCTCTGCAGGGACAGCCAATTTTCTCACTCTCCACTTTACATCCCTATCTTAAACACCGGGAAACACATCAACTTTCAAAGTAGCTCTTCATGTCCCTAGTGCTGCTGCCACATGTATATATTCCTCCTAGAATGAGCTGAATGGAGGGCTGTATAATGATCTCTCATTTAGCTTAAAGTGCCATCTTTTCCTTCACTGCATTTTGTCTATGAGAAGTGTGCTGAGTCTTGTGCAGCTGCGTTGGTGCTCTTATTCAGCACAGATCTCYTCTAACTTCTGCACCCATACCAAGAGTTTCCTTCTTCCATTTGAAAAGAGTGACAAACGGGTAGCGGGCAGAAGAGCCCAAAGCTGACATGGATATGGATGAAAATATTAACCTGATAAAAGAGATTTCTTTGCCTTCTAGTGCACATGTTCTGAGCTGGAAGGTAAAATTTCAAATGGAAAAGAGAAAGGGAAGACAAAGAAATTCGGATTCAGATGCTGACCCTACTTGTTTTCAGAGCACATAATATCTACTGAAACATAAATCAGCCACCAGGGAATTCTTGCCCAGTGTCCTCAAGGTCATCTAGAAGTCAGCTACAAGTATCTCACACGAGGATATGTGCAATTACTGACATCAACAAGATGACAAAGACCTGCTCTGGTTGAGGTAGGGATGCTCAGAATGTTCACCACCACACATGGTTGGGCCCTGCCTTTGTTTGATACATTTCTGATTGAGCTGTGTAAGCAAAATACAGTTCTGGTCAGAAAAAAACAYACTGTATTCATTATTTTAAAATTAACTGGAGTTAAACCAATTGCCATTGTCAGGCATGCAAAGATTTAGAACAGATCTAGCATTAAATCATGGATATCTATAGGGAGTTCCCTCGGATCATTTGATTAAATTAAGCTCTTAAAAGTACACTTCAAAAATGTCACCCAGGTGTAGGAGGAAAAGAAAGAAAATAAGGCAACGAAATTAATGTAAATTTGGAGAAATTAAATGTTGTCTCATGTATTTTGACAATGTAGACATCAGTAGGTTTGCCAGACAGATCAGCTTCAGATTTGACTTCAGCGAACTAGTCTAAAGCACAAGCTACTTGCTAGTCATTTTTTTGGCTTTTTCCTCTTGAACCACTTTACAGGTTCAATTTGCATTATAATAGCACTGGCCATGCTTCTGCCCTGTTTGAGGTCATTCCCCAGCCTTTGGGGACAAAACTGGCATCTGACAAGGTGGTCAGTTTCTGGTCACAGAAGTGTTTTAAGTAACAAGCCGTGCAGGCAGCAAGAGCAAAGGGGGAAAAGATGTGAAGTTGAAGAAATGAGAGACAAATAAAACAATTGGGTACAGACAGCAAGAGGAAAGAGCACTGGAACACCTGAAGGGCTCTGACAGAGAAATCCCACTGCACCAATTGTTTTATCATTACTCTGCTTTGCAAACAGCATGCTGTAGGCACCTTTTCTTCGCACCCCATTTCTTTCAACAATAAGACATCAGGCATAATTGGGAATAACTGAGGATCCCAACAGTCTTTGGTTCATGCAGCAAGTTAGGAAAAAAAAAAGAAGTTCTCATTGTTTTTTTGGATCCTTGTGGTGGTTTAACCCCAGCSAGCAACTAAGCAGAACATGGCCACTTACTCACTCACTTCTCCTCCAACAGGATGGAGAGAAAATCATTGGATGGTYATCTCATGGGCTGAGATAATAATAGTTTAATAGTTGAAATATTATAAAAATAATAACAATAATAATACCAAAAAAAGAGAGAAATTATACCCAAGAAAAAGCAATGCTGATGAAAAACAATTGCTCACCACCACCAAGCCAATGCCCAGTCAGTCCCCAGCCAACTTCCATCTCCAGTTTATCACAGAGCATGATGCCATATGGCAGGGAATATCCCTTTGGTCAGCTGGGGTCAACTGCCCCAGCTGTTGTCCTCTCAACTTCTTGTGCACTCYAAGCCTGCTGGAACAGTGTGAGGAGCAGAAAAGGCCTTGACTCTGTGTGAGCACTGCTCAMCAATAATTAAAACATCTGAATTATCAACACCATTTCCAGCACAAATCCAGAACACAGTCCCATACTGCTGCTATGAGGAAAATCAACTCCACCCCAGTCAAAACTAGCACAATCTTAAACTGAGTTTGCTGGACTGGAAAATGTTTGGTGATGTTGGGTTTTTTACTTGTGAATGCAACAAATTTGACTGAAGCCTAAAAACATTTTTACAAATTGGTTTGAAACAGGCTTCTACTTTAATAGTCTAGCCTAACACAACACKCTGTGATTTGATTTTGCATTATGATGATGTATTTACAACAGCAAGTAATAGAGACTGTAGTGAATTCAGATTGGAGAATCTAAAAATCAGTGCTCTTGTTTGATTTTCTTAAACCTCTTTCTGACCTAAGCACCCAAATATCCTCAGTCTGGTCTGGATCCACACCTTGACCATACGGTCCTCTACCAGAGAACGAAATAATTCTAGGCAATTAAGACACTTGCCCATATTCATTTCATCTGCAAAATCTTCCGAGGTGCAAACAAAACACTGGATGGGAAGATTTGCTAAYGCTGACAGTGCATTAGATCACTTGATCCTGTTTTTCCTGTGATACTTATTACTGAATGGAAATCAAATGCATGCATGTTAGGACTAGTAACAGATGGCACTTCTGTTCTGTGAGGAAGAAATAGGGGCAAAGGGGCAGCAAAGTTGAACCTCCCCCCTTCCCTGCCTCACCAGGATTTATTGTGTTGCCCTCCTGTTACAGTTGGCTGTGACTCTTTCTTCTTATAAAGAGATGTCAKAAGTTAGAGAGAGACAGACAATAACCTTAAATCTCATACTGCATTTTACCAGGATTCTGAAAAATAAAAAATAAAAAAATAAAAGCCAGCTGAGGGAGTTGGAAAATGTCAGTGAGGCATTACACAAAGAACTTGATACATTTGTTGACCTTTCTTCTTCCTCCACCCTTCTCCTCTAAGATGGATTTAGTAGTAGTGAGTGCTTAGTGCTATAAGTGCTTTCTTAAAAATAATTTAGATGCTATTGTCTGTCTGCCTGCACTTGGAAAACATAGCTGTTTCAATGAGCCCCTGCTGAAACAGAAGAAAAAGGGTTTATTGAAATGCCTCCAAAAAATGCACCAAAATTTCATTCTTCTTCTTGTCTGCTGAAACCCATCTTGTTCTTGCTTTTGCAGTCTTTTGTTTTATTTTTTTAATTGTACCATTGTATTCAGGGTCTTTTCATTCTTCTCCGCTATTTTACGAATGGCTTGTGTGGTATTAAGAGCTGAAGGCAGAGATGAGAGGAGAAGTGTTTTGAATTGACTAATTTGCAGGCAAGAAATAAAGCTCTTGTAAGGTGGTCCCAGGGGTATCTTTGCCATGAACACTATTTGAAATGACATGTAATCTGGTATATTTCAAAGGCAAAACATTTCCTATTCTAAAGTATCTTCCTGAGCCAGCGTTGGTTTACCTGCTTCCAGAGAATAATAAACTCCACTGAGGCCAAGGAAACTCCTTCTCTCCCCTCTCAAAATTCCTGTTCTTTATCAAAAGGGCAATTGCAGCCAACAGTTTATTTCTGTCCTATCTTTTGCTGCTCTAGTGGCTCATTGCTTGCTACGAATACGTAACTGAATGCACCTCTGGATTAAATACTAAGTAACAGAACCCAGCACGTCGCTGTACAACACAATAAATAATGGTGTGAAGCTCTCTTGTTGTTYCTTACAACAGTGGAACATTTATGTCTGGTTCTCACAGACTTTTAAGATTTTAAGCATTTCACCACATAACTTTGATCTGGCAATTTCTTAATAGAAACTGTTCCTCTTCTAGAGAAATCTGAGTTTAACTGACCCCTTGGAATGTTGTGTTAATACTCTTTCTCAGCGCAATTTCTAGCCTTGCTGACATGCCAAAAGGCTTACACATAAAASTCCACATTTAATTTGTTAAGGCAGAAATCTCAGAAAAGCTTTATGTTTAGAACTTTGTCCATATTTTGATGAAGGCTTAACTRGTCTTATAAAGCAACACATTTAATCATCTTCTATGAACATATTCATATACTCTAAGGAATGGTTCTGTATGTGTATGAATATCCAGAAACTGTACTGCATGGTTTTAAAATATTTTAAAATGTTTTAAATGGGGAAATTTTCCATTAATAAAACCCAATGTTTTTGAGAAAATAAACACTGATTAATATTACAAATCATTTATATTAATTTCACAACTGTTCTGTTYTTAAACTTTTAGTTATAGAGAAACAAACTCATGCTTTGTAAACCTTCTGAACTTTCAYGGACCACTGTTTAAACATTCACTTGTTTTTCTCTTTAACTCTATGAAGAAAAATCAGTGTACARTGTGTCTACAATAACAACCTTATCTTTTTAAAATGTATTTTATATTTATTTTTAAAATTAAAAACATCAGTTACATTGGTGTTAAAAATCCACATGCTTGTGCACAATGTACTGGCTCTACATAGTATCTTTTCAAGTGTGGACTATGATAAATAAATTACATTACTTAAACAGAGATACTGAAGGTTCCTAGATAGAACAAACAAAAGAAATGGATTTGAAATGTTCAAAAAGGAGARATTTCTAAAAGCATGAAAAGCAAACAGTTCTCTCCTCAGCCTAATATTTTTGAGGCGCAGAATGTCCGGRATGCTGTCAGTTTGCATTACCAGTCTCAGCCTTTGAAGGACAGGTTTTGCACTGTGAGTGACCCGAATGTGTGTTGCTCTTGGATCTCTACCAAAGAGAAGTCATGATAAAATACGATGCCCCATAGACAGGTCTTACACCTTAACTGTTGTTTTTCACAAGGTCCTGTCAACCAATCAGGCAATTCTTAATTTATGGGAACTTTGCCCAAAATGTTACTTGGAACTAAATGTGTCCAGTGTTCACAAAAACTTCCAAAGTAGGCAGTGCTGTTCCCCAGTAGTGTTTATCTCCTGGACTGGTTCCCTTATCGATTCTGAGCCATTAGATCAGTCAGGATTAGATRCTAGCACTAGCAAAACAAAACTTTTATCATGAAATAAAAGACTATTCTACCAAGTTAKTTAGCAATACCACTGGTCTAAGAAATTCTACCACAACCAGAGAAATAAACCAGGCCTTTCCATGACTGCTGAGTGCTGTCACATGTCAACAAACCGATGGCATCACACCTCTAATACTCAGTATCTGAGGAAAGTTAGAGTGCTTGGCTCAGGCAGCTGTCTGGGGGAACACCCGCTGCCTTCCGAAATCCCAGAGCTGCCTGCTCTTCTKTATTTTAGTAGCACAAGTCACCAACCTTGCACAAGTATACTTCAGCACCAGATCTGATCCTACAGAAAACTTGCTAACCCTCCTCTGACCCAACTGCTTCCYAATGCCAGCATAAAGACTTCTGGTTAGCCCCTTTACATTGCCTGTATGTAATGTAACCTTTAGTGAGACATTARCTTCTTTTTCTTTTCTTTAGATCAATTTCCAACATACGCACTTCAGAGTGCATTGAAATATTCATATAGGCAATATGCAGGGAAGCCATCAGCAGGAATTGTTTCACTCGCTTTTCAGACACAAGAGCATTTTGCTAATACAGAATACCTAGCCAGAGAGCAGCACAATAGCCTAGCTAAGCTGATTTATTGAAACTATATTTTTGAGGGCTGTTTTTTTCCTTTGGTGACTCATGTGATGTGGGGCCATTTAAACACTGTGTGTAGAACACATGCTTGTTTGAACACTTCATTATTTAGCTCAAAGTAGTACTGTAGTATTGTTCTGTTTAGGGAACAAGTTTGAATTTACCATTGACTCAGGAGAACTTCACAATGTATCGCTGGGTCAAGGACAGGAAGCTGCAGCAGAAATAGCTATGGAAAAGGCATCAAAAGAAGGCCACTGGGTTATACTTCAAGTAAGTCAAAGCTCTTCATTACATCAGTGCTGCACTGCGGTGTTAAAAACTGAAGCGTTTCAAAATAACATGTGCCTAGATGAAAGAGTACTAAAYAGTGATTTAAAACTTCCTTTGTCTTTGCCACAAGGGAAGCACATAACTTCATCTGTATATGTATCACTGAATATCACATAAAATATGAATTGCAACTATCTTGCTTGTAGGGAGTCAACGAACATATTTTCCCAAGCACATGATATCTGATTTACTAATTTATTACCCATTAAAAAAAATCTTTCAGTAAATAAAAGTGTAGGAAAAAGAATTGTTACGCTGTATAATCAGATGAATAGATACAAACAGGGAAGATTGCTGTCATTATGCAGTGCATTGTGCTAAACAGATGCACACGATTTTTTTTCAAATATTGTGCAATATCAAACTGCTTCCTTATGTCTGGGTTTTTCTTGTATCAATAAAATGTTTCAAATTTCAAATCAATAGCTCACTGGGAGGCCTATTTTTTCCTCCCTTCTCCCCCCTCTCCCTCCTTATCTCTGAATATTTATTTTGTAGTAAAGTGGCTGGAGACACTAAAGAAATTACTGAAGAAAACCAGGGAAGGAAGACAGCAGGGTGATTGGTTTTGAGTGTGAGGAACCTGCTTCTTCCCCTAAAGCACATCTCATTCCAGAGTGGGTTTGGGAAACCTCCCATTAAAACAACTGATAAGCCACGACCTGTAATACTGTCTGATTACCATGCTGTGCTGGCTAAATTTGATCAGGCAAGCAAAACACCACAGAAATAAAACTTTAAAAATCTGAGTATTAAACTTCTCATTTTAAAGCCACTTGAAACAGTGAAGTCACTAAAAGCCTTTACAGGATATGTAATAATAAAGCAGAATTAATTTCATTTCTTAAAGATTTGTTCATATAAATATCCCAGAGTGACTGAACATCTATCATCAAAAAAAAACCCCAAAACGAACAAAAAAAAAAAAAAAAAAACCAAACAAGAAACTACTTCTTTCCATTTGAAAGCATCACATACAGTTTCTAGGGAAGTACGTACCTATGTGTATGGGAAATTAAGAATTTGCAGTGACTACAGGTAATTACTGTAGTACAGAATAAGAATTTATTTTGGTTCCATCTAGCTTCATTTGGTTTATCTTGAGATGCATAACCATGTGTTTTTGTGTCTCTAGAATATCTTTTACATATTCTGAGCATGCAATACACTGGAATTAGGTCTTCAGCTCAGGTAAATCAGAGAGGTTCACTACACCAATTTATATTGCTAAGGATTTGGTCCAAAAYATTTGGATCATATACGAGAGGAAAGCATGGCTTGGCTACTAGTTATCATATTTCCTCTGTGCCTTTTAATCTTTGTTTTAGAAGGCTTTTAATGAAAATAATTTTTCTTACTGACTCCAAAATACTTACAAATACAGGTGTATATAMGTGGTAGTTATTAGCCATGCTCAAAGACCTGGTCAAAGAAATCAGGTATTTCTTTGGAACACAAATCTGTATTAAAGAAAGAGCATCCACCTGAATGCTAAGAAACTCACCAATTTTTTAAAAATCTGCTTTTCGACAGTATATTCTAAAAAACCTCTGTGAAAATCACAACGGCTTTTCTTCTTTTTCTCATTTAGAATAACCTCTTCTAGCAATAAAAAAAGGAAGAATCGCCAGTCAGCCGCGCAGCGGCGGGAATGTCACCCAAAGTGCTGACAGACGCACAAAGAAACCCGCGGCTGCAGTCCCGGCCACAACGCGTTTGTCGCCAGCTCCAGCCGAGCCCGCTGTGGCCCCGGCCCGGCCCGGCCGCTGCACCCGCTGGGCGCCGCCTCCCCCGCGCTCGGGGTGCCGGGCTGGGCCAGGCTGCACCGCCCGGGCCGTCCCCCCAGGCCGGCGGCTCTGCCGTAACCTCTGGGCTGCCCTAGGGCAGCGCGGCCCCGCGGTACCTGCCCGGCGCCCGGGGCAGCCGCCCGTCCCCTGCCCGTGCCCGTACCCGTGCCCGTGGGGCGGCCTGGGCCGGGCCGGGCCGGGGCAGCGGCGCCGCGTTCCCGGAGCCAGAGCTCCCCCTGCCGGCCACTGCCCCGCCGGCCCGACCGAGCCCGCCCGCACCCAGCCCGGCCCGGCCCGCGGGGGAGCCCCGGTGGGAGAGGAGAGCCCCGGTGGGAGAACCCCCGCCGACCCTCCGCGTTTGAGACTGGGCAGCGCTGCGGGGCTGGCACGGCGGTCCCGACCTCCAGGGCAGGTTTCCCTCTCGCAGACGCTCGTGTTAACGCTGAGTGGGGGCGTGAGGGACTCCCCACGCAGGGCCGCACCCCCGGCACCTGCTGCCAAGAGCCAGGCGGCGGCGGGGAGAGTCTGTAACCCGCCCCCCGACTCGGAGCCTCCCGCCCGGGCTCATTACCAGTGCGGGAGCCAGCGCGGCTGGAGCGGTGTCAGCAAAACCAAGGCGCATCCTGCGCTTTCTTCTGCAGTTTCCACCCGGAGGACAGGGATGTGACATGGGCAGGAGCCAGAGGTCACCGACCTGCGGGGCTGAGGCGACTCGGTCGACGGCAACCCCAGGCTTCCGCCCGTCGAGCCGGGGTTTGTGCCTGGGGAAAAGCAAACACGGGCATGAACGGGCACGCTCTGTTAACTCCTTTAAATGGCCACAAGCACACTGCTCTTCCTGAGGAATTACACCTTAAACAGACTTGGCGGTTTAATAAACCAGCCCTGGTCCCCTGCCGCGCTGACCTCTGATCCCATAGCAATACAAAGATTTCTGGTAGCGCTGTGCYCGCGCTGCTGCGGCCGAGGGGCGATAATGACCAAGGGTCAGTGGGCGACAAACTATTTCGGCAAAAGGGAGGCAGAAAAGTCCTCTCCACCCCTGAGGGGCATTTGGTGATAATCACTGCCTGTGGCAGTGGCCATGCCTCGCGGGCGGAGAGCCCCTCACTGAACYCGGCATTTGTCAGGTGGTGATGGGAGCAGGCGGCAAACAAGCCCCTTCCCAGCCCCTGCAAGCCAAGCGCGGACGAGAGGGGTGCTTCACAGCCCTCACCTGAGAACACATTGGCCATCTCACCTCCTCCCCCGCAGCCCGGAGCAAGGCAGGTGTGCAAGCTGCCAGCGCCACAGCGGGGGTTTCGTGGTCACGCTGTCCCCGGGGGGAGGCAGGCGAGGCAGCAGTGCAACAGGCCCCGCACACCCGCGGCAGCAGCCCCCGCCCGCTCCCCGCGCCGCCCCGCTCACCTGCAGCGCCCCGCGGCCGCCGCGCTCCGGCCCCGCTGCCGGCAGCTCCCGCTGCGGGAGGACCGACACCAGACGAGGGGAACAAAAGGACGAGATCAGAAAAAGGAATAAAAGAAGGAAATGTAGCGAACACTAAAAACAAGAGGAGGAATTTTCCCCGGGGGAAAGAGAGAGCGAAGCGCTACTTACATGAGCTTTTTTTTTTCCCTGCAATTTCTGCAGAAATTCTGACAATGCACGTGCTCGTTTTCCCTTTCTCATCCCACACAAACCTGTTGTTGTTTTACTTTCATTATTTCACTTTGTTGCATCAGAAATGCTGAATCATAAAACAGGGGTTAGTGAAAATGGTATTTATCTTACAGAAATAAGCGCCACATTATTTTAAAGGCCCCCACACTACTGCTGTTATTATTATTATTATCATCATCATGCATCTTGGCAGGTTGAAAGGTATCTCGGAACAGTAAGAATTCCGCAGTAATTTAACATCCCACAGCAGTACTTTAAAAGCATCAAATAGCATTTTGAATTTTAAGTCAGTACAAGTGTAAATAAATGGATGTACTCCCACTTGTCTGTTGTTTTTAAACTTATGGTGATACTAAAATATTTGCCTAACAGCTTTGAGTTGTAGCAGAATTTCAGCTCATATATACACATGCGTGTGATATTGAATTAAACCATTTGTCATTCTTTTTCCATAAAAGACACAATTTGGCTCTCAGCAAACCATTTGAAATAGAAATTATGATGATGATACCACAGCTCCATTTTATTTTATGGAACTGTATTGATTTTCAAATAGACAATACATGCATTTTTGTAATGGTCTAAAAGAAGATATTCTGCCTTTTTATTTTACAGTCCTTATGCCATTACTTGCTTTCATTTCAATAGAGGTTTGTGTTTTTGAGAGCTGCTACCATAAATTGCTTCATTTAATAAGTTGCTCCTTATTGCTACAGAATAATAATGTTACACCAGAGAGCAGCACTTCATAATTTGGAAGAAATAACATTTTTCTTTTAAAAATATTTCTGTCTCTTTATMCTTGAATTAAAATATCTTTCTGCTGTTTTCTTTCACAAGGATAATCTGATTATTAAAAAATTCATCTTTTTTTTTTTTCTTGCAAGCATCGGGACTTGGGTGTGACATAAAGGAGCTAATTAAAATGGGGAACAAATTAGATTAATTTCCACGGATATAATGGTGATATAAAAGTCTTGTTCTCAACAATGACTCCATAATAGAACAATTTCATTTATGCCTAAGCAGGTTCCTTATTCTGTCTAGTGAGGATTGCCAGCAGTGTCTTAGTGACAAGGTTTTTATTATTTTTTTGACAGTTTGATAGGAAGTCGGTGCTTGCCTCTGTGTTTGCAGTCTCTTCGAAGCTGAATTATGAAAGTTACCATAAAAATACGGATAAAATGTTACCTCCCCAAAGTCCTGTCCATTATGGCCTGCACCCCAATGTGGAGATTGCTTTTGTCATAACTGCAGACAACATGCTCCATATGCTATTAGAGCTGCAATTCAAATACTCACTCACTGGGGAAGGAGTCTCCTAAGCTGTGGAAGACAAGGTCAGTCAAAACAGAGCAGGCTTCAAATTTGTCACAAGACAGTGTGATGGCTATGGGTTTATGTTTGAGGGATTTTTCCCCCTATGTTCACCAATTTCAATAGAATTAGWTATTTTCATACCTGTTTTTTTGCAGGGATGCGATCTGAAATTTGCAGTGAGGGGTCTCTAGTATACACGAGACATAGATGTATGCATTATTTTGTACAAAGAAAAAAAGATCTTGCTGGAATGTTACAATATATTGATCGTGTTGTGCCATTTAGGATACTTTGTCAGGTTGCAAAATGCCATTATTTCCAAATTATAAGGCAGAATTTGCTTTTCTTCCTAACAGCATGGATGTGCACAGGTCTTCCACTCATCTATGTCACAGGATAAATCCTCCGTATCCTTCCTACTATGACATGAAGGCATAGAAATGCTTTCAGTGCATAAAGATACACAAAGTTTATAATTTCCTTTATATTTATGCAGTAGTGGATACCCGAGACACTTGCCTCATGCCACATGGTATCTCTCGAGGATGAAGGCARAGCTAGACAACATAAAGAAAAAATCTTTCAGAAGACAGGAAAATCAGATATTTTATTCCTTCCACCATCAGTGGAATGATACTCACTGATACTAAACTGATTTGTTTTACAGAATATGAAAGACTGRATCTGCTCATACATGAGGTAAGGCATTCTCTTCAAGAACTTAACCTAGGTCTGAAGATACGTCTGCTTTGCTTTACTAATCTCAGCATGAGTTTAAATAGCATGAGTGTGGATACCAGTAACAGGCAGTCGTCAGTGACGCTTGGGGAGATTATTTCTCATTTCATTTATTTTAAAAGTCTGCTTTCATAAGCTGTCTACTCCAAGATGTAACTCATCTCTATATATCAAATTACTTGTTTTAATTTGTGTGGAAAAAATATCATTAAACTGCTCAGGACACTGAACTCCTCCTTCTCTCTACATACAAGGAAGCAAAATGCAAGGCCTCTTACTATGGTCTGATTCCCGTTTCAGTGCAGACATGGAGGTAAGGTTGGTGCATCCTTCTCTTCTGCCATTGCAGAAATTTGTGTTTTCTGTTATAACTGCAAGAGATCTGGTTGCTAGTTACAGTATGAGTCCATGTGTGTTTAAGGCAATCCATAGCAGAGAAGGGAGGTAGCTGTTTGATGCCTCAAGAGAGCCTCTGATGCCAAAAACAAAAACTACCATGTATAGATCCCTGCTGGAAAAGGCACATCGTTCAGATTGTGTTAAATGATCAGCATCTTCAAAGCCATTGGTATGTGGCATTGGCTGTCATTAGGAGATGGCCATTTACTGCAGGTAAAGGTGCAGCATCAGCAACACCCAAGTCCTGATCTCATTGTGCATCTGGTGAGGGCAGTGAGGCGTGGTAAAAACTGTGTGGGTAACCCATCACACATCTTCTTGGTAATAATATCTCTCCACACCAACAAAGTGCTGAATAGCAAAGTGTAATGTTCTTAATCACAGAAGACCGAATTTTCATAATATCTAGCAATCTCAAACAGCAATGTACCTGCTGCACTAACATGTAATATATGTTCAATCACAGAACTGGGCAAACAAGTGCCTTCTTAGGCTTCGCTAGCAATTTACACAGACAATTGTGGTAAATCCATGCAGAGCTGTAGTTTATGCATACCACTTCTTCCAAAAGAAGGCACTGAAAATGTAATTCATAGGCCTAGTTTCTTTAAGGGACCTCCTTTTTTGCCACCTAAAATTACCTTCCTTTCAATCTTTAATTCAGAGTAACAAAACATGGGCAGTCAGATAGCCATTAGTGCAAGCAAGCCAGCAGAATGGTAGCTTGATTGCGTGTACAATTTTCTGTGGGATACCAGAAAGCAGGTTAGTAATTTGGCCCTTTATCATTTTCTCCCTGCATATATGCGTAGGTGGGTGCTTCCATGCGTATGTATATGAATTACCATATCATATAATTAYTTAATGCAATTAGAAGGAGAACCCAGAACCTACACTCTTGTTTTTCTGACTGTTTCCCCTTTTTAAAAAATAAATGACTCACCCCAGTGGCAAGAGCCAAAATATTCTTTACACTTGACGATTTAGCTACCTTATGTGTTTTTACTGGGGAAAAAGAAGCCTCTATCATTTATCATGTCATCTTATCACAGTCTCTTTGTGAGGCACAAATAGCACACTAATGTTTTCTTTTGTTAGGGTGAGTTGGCAATCTCCTCAGAGATGGAGCAACTACAGACAGCTCTTTTTTTTTTTATAATCTTCCTGACACTTGGATGAGACTGGCTTATCCATCAACATACAGTTGCTCAGTGGTAAGTTGAATGCCAACAGTCATTCAGTATGGATGCCACTTCACGTCCATTATAAAAAAAATAGAATTGAAACTAAAGAGTTTTTTTGGCAAATATCTTACCTTCTTGTGTAACTCAGAATAGCTTTTTATCATAAACTGATATTACCAGTGTTATGAAAAGCAGAAAGAGCCTTTCATTTACCTTGCCAATTACTGCAGACTTTGAAAGATTTGTCTAAAATTTGCATTCCCACTCCTTCCTTGCTTGCTTGCTTTTTTTCTCCAGCTGTGTGTGTGATAAAATACATTTGACAAGTGCTGTAGCACTCAATATCTACTACTCAGAAGATCAAGCTTGGTTTCTTGTGTCTTCAGGGATCAGAACTTGTAACAATGAAAGGGCACTGCTCTGAGCTCAAGGGTGAAATGATCACCAGAAGAAGCAGCAATTAACAAAGCAGCTTCTGTCAAGAGCAATGTTTCAGAGAAAGTAGTAGGGCAAACATGTTTCCGCTCATCTTACTCGAACACCTTAAGTTGTGTCCATCTATCTGTAGTGTCCGTGACTCTTTTATAATATCAAAAATGAAGCTGAAAACAAAAAGTGAAAGCCATCCAATGCTGGCAGATAATTTCCTTGCTGACATACATTCAATTCTCCACAGGTAGCCTCCTGAGTGAGGCAAAGAGCCACTGGCTGATGGAGCTAACCAGGACTGGAGAGCTGACCAAAGGACAGGAAAGCTCTGCCAAGCACAAAGACAGGTAGCGCTAGAAGGCAAAGCAAGCCCACACTTCTGAGATCAGTTCAGACTTCTGAGAGATCAAAAGTGGAAGAAGAAATCTTGTTCAGCAGAGGAAACATTGAGAAAAGCACCAGAGGTACATTGTGGTGAAGATCAATCAGAGCTTTACGGAATTAAATGCTCTTTTAGCTTTCCTTGATGGAAAACTAAACCACCATAGAGATACTGTGATGTCTGTGATAAATATATGTCCTGAAGACAGAAAGCGTTGCCTAGGGGATATAACGCAGTAATGCTAAATTACAAGCTGTTTTCCTGAAGGACAACACAGCTGCTTTCTTTAAAAAAATGTATGGGGGATTCAAGCTGGACCTTCTATTCATGTTTGCACAAAAGAGGTTAAAAGTATCCACTGATTATATAAGAGCTGTCTTGCAGAACTAGTAGGATTTAAGGTGATAGATWATCTTTTACCATCAGGTGCAAAATGCAGTGAGTCACCAGGGAGCAAATTCCTTGCTGTGAGCAGTGTAATGCAGCTGGGCAGCCTCCCTGCTGGAACACAGCGTGTATGGGGAGGGACTGCGGAGCAGGTGAAAGGGAGCCACCGGAGCGATCACGCAGAGACAGGGCTGGTGGAGTGGTCAGCTTAGCCTGGCTGTCAGTCCCCTGGGTTCGGGGAGGTGAAAAAAAAAAACCAACAGAGACTGAAAACAAAACTTGAATCACTGTCACATCTAAAGCCCCACAGTAACTGTCAGTAGCAGGAGCCATGAGCTTCCTCCAGGGAAGGACATCCTCCCTGTCACGCATGCTGCAAAGCCCGCGGAGGCCTCAGTCATCATGATAATTTGATCCTCCCTGTTTTTAAACCCCTCTGTCTCTTATATACCTACTTGACATGCCATCATCTGAGATACCTGAAAAAAAACCCTTTGCTATCTAAGCAGCTGCCATTTTAAAGTAAGGTGGGAGAGTGAGGAGGTAAAGGGGAAAAATCAGAATGCATGCACAGTTTAAGCATGTTGGGCTCAGCAAATGTGTCAGAAACAGCAAATACAAGTGATTAAATGACAGAGATCATCACATTACCTATTAAGCTCAGCTCTTCAGTTTATCATCAGGATCCTTATCTACATCTTTGAAATGAACCCAAATTCTGTTATTTCTTCCCTTTATAAGCTGACCCTCTATGTCAGCTATTTCCGAAGTTTTGGTGGAGGAGTCACCTCTTGCCTCTAAGTGAGCAGTCTCCTATCTCTGGCTTAGAGACAGTCAGCTATCCCCAGGGCAGATGTGTCTAGCATTTCTTAGCAGCATTTTAGGAAGCAAGAAGCAACACCAAAGAGTGCTAAAAAAACACTCAGCTAGAAAGGTGGGGATGTGATGCCAGAGATCTTAAACAGGGTAAAAAGGAAAAAAACAAGCTGATGCTTTCTTTTTCAGGCCACAGAAATTCAACAGATAGGGAAATAGAATGTGGAGGGAAGAGAAAGATTGGAAACCTGTGCCACAGGTCATCCAGTTTTCTGGAAATCTGCAAAAGATCAACAGTGGGACTCCTTAACAGAGGCAAAAAATGTCTGGGTTCTGGGCTGTGACTGCATTGTCAGGCAACGGCTGGAGCAGGCAGAGGTGAGAGCAGCAGTGAATGAGGATTGAAAGGAGACATCACATGTAAAGGGGATGAAGTGAAGGGGCATATAAGGAGCAGAGGATGTTGGGGAGTGGGGGCAGGAAGGCACAAAATGTAGGAGCTGCCAGAAGAGGGGATGTGCATTCTCTCTTTGGCAGATATTCACAATACACAGATACAGGCTTAGAAACTATTCCATGAAAACTCAGGGTTATGGCACTCGCTCCCTCACAAGCTAGAAAAATACATGCTTGAAAGGAAAAGGCCTTCAGGGTAGGAGGGTTTGTTATTTGGGGTTTTAAACTGGYAGAATCTGCTGCTGACTTGTAAGGTGGGGAGGTATTAACTCCTGAGAAGGAGGAACAAAAGGCAAGGATTGCGATCCTGTGAGAAAAGACAAGGAGCATTGCAAGTAGAGGTGGGCTGGTCCAGAGGGGGGGTTAAGGATATTCGTCGAGTGCTTTGAGATGAAACATGCTGTGTGTTCGCAAAGGTGTCTGTCAGTCAAGTGGGGGAGCAACATTATGACAACCTCTCTTCCAGGAGCAGCAAAGACCAAGATTTCATTCCCTGCAAAGCCAGCCAAGAAATTACTGAAATGGCTATTTTAACAGTCAAAGCGAACGGGGAGAGAACAAAAGAACTCCATGTGCACATACACACACATCCAGCCATCTATCCATGTCCTCCTATGGCCTCCGATGAGCCACCTTCCTCTTAAAGTCTCTTGCATTGCTGAGAAAACAGGCAGCAAATTATTTTGTTGCTGTAAAACTTTAAATTATCTCAGTTTSAGGGAGGGGTGAAAAATGGGTGTAACTTGCCTGAAAATTTTTGAGAGTACTGCTAAGTCTGATACACATGGAATAGCAGAAAAGAGCTTACATTTATTTTGAAGGAGCCACTCTTGTTTCCTGAGTACCAACTTGCTGTCTTACTGGCTACCTTGCAAAGCACGGCTGCTGCCCTGGCTCCTTTASACAGAGAGGCTAAGGTTCCAGAGGGGCTGCTCTGAAAG